GGCGTATGACTATACTACTGCCACTTTACTGAGTGCCTTTACTTTCCTTTGCCATGAGTGGGATAGAGCAGAACACTTCAATAAGTCGGGGTAAAGGGATCATTTACATGTGACTCATCACTAGTTGTATTACATTTTTGCACGAGAGAGTGCATATTTAAGTCCAAACGCTATATATGCTTGTTCAATCATGTGAAATCACATTTAGTCATTGAATTTTATACATCGATGTGATGAACAGCTTTTACACAGGTTAGACAGGTTCACTGACTTCGTGTGCGACTCACAACTGCTAACCAAGTTTCCGACCTGTCTCTTGGCAACGATGTAAACATTAACAACCAGTTGTTATGAATCGCAGGGGAGGTAACTCAAAATAACTCTGAAGGTGTTGACACAGTAAAGGATCACATGGATGAAGTGGATGATGGACCTCCCATCACACGTCACCAGAGACAAAACAGGAAACATATCCAGTCCAAATATGGCGATATATCAAGGTTGACATGGGAATCAATGAAGACATAATCAAAGAGGATATTTTGGGCTGGCAAAATAGCAAGGCGACCTTGAAATTAGATGGGTGTCAAAAGAAGGAACGCGTCACATCACTTAAGATCTTGATTATCTGGAGGGCGGTGGGGTAGCCTCGTGGTTAAAGCGTTGGCTCGTCACGCCGAACACCCGGGTTTGATTCCCCACATGGGTACAATGTGTGCAGCCCATTTCTGGTGTCCCCCGCCGTTATATTGCTGGAATATTGCTAAAAGCGGCGTAAAACTAAACTGTCTCACTCTCTTGATTACCTGGAAGTATACATATAGTCCATGGCATCCCCTCACAGAAATGGATCACATCCCAGAACTGGGGGATCTTGATAACCTCGAAGCACATAGTAGACGAGATAACCTTATATTACATTCTTTGTTACCCCATCACAAAACGGATCGCTTCACACAACTCGAGGAGGATCCTAATAAACTCGTTATTATCATTAAATCATTGATATTTTAAAACAGATACATTTGTTAAATGAATTTTGATATATGTTTTGTAAAAGATAAAGTTTTATAATTGGTAGTTCAGATTATCAACTAAGAGTGTTAGTGGTTGTATCAAAATCAATTCAAACTTACCAGGATTTTTAAACGTAGTATTCTTGTTATTTTAATTTTGGCTAACATTTCTTACAATCGCCAACAGCTGAAGGGATGGTGTAAATCCAACTAGGGTCCATGCAGGTAGCAAAGGTACTGTAAGTCCCCATGGTCCCTAGTATGGTGATCTACCTTCAGTTGTTGGCGATCTCTCGCCTGTTTTTATATTGTATTGTCCAAATAGTGCTATCAGTTTTAACTTTCCACACTAGTTTTAGTTGTAATCGTAATATTCTAGTTTTTACTGTCCTTTGATGACAGGTTTTATAATAATATACATATATTCCATTTCAATGTCACATATGTTCTCGTCACGATATGGCTGAAATATTGCCGATGACACGTTAAACAATAACTCACTCACTCACCCTAATAAACTCGAAGCACAAGATGACGACCCAGTGAGTGCGAAAGAGGAATGTTTGTTTGTTGTTTAACGTGCACTCAAAATTCGAGCTATATGGGGCGGTGGGTTAGCCTAGTGGTTAAAGCGTTCGCTTGTCAAGACCTGGGTTCGATTCCCCACATGGGTACAATGTGTGTAGCCCATTTCGGGTGTCCCCCGCGTGATATTGCTTGAATATTGCTGAAAGCGGCGTAGAACTAGACTCACTCACTCGAGTTGTATCGAGGCGGTCTGTAAATAATCGACTCTGGACCAGACAATCCAGTGATCAACATCATGAACATCGGTCTGCGGAATACGATGGCATGTGTCATTCAAGACTTACTATTTCGCACCCATGAAAGATCCGGATTCGAATTCATCTTCAGCAACCCATGCTGCTTGTCGTAAGAGGTGACTGACGGATCGGGCGGTCAGGCTCGCTGACTTTGGATTGACGGCGTCATCGTTTCATCGGATTAATGCTCATGCTGTTGAGCACTGGATTGTCTGGTTCCAGATGTGATTATTTATATACTGTTGTCATACAGCTGGACTATTGCTGAGTGTAGCGTTGAACAGCAAAACAAAAATAGACACGAGACTATATTGAAGTCCAGAAATTCGTATGATGCGAAGCCATGTGAACAGGGACGCTATCGTTCCTAAGTAAAGTTAGAAAAATCATCCAGATTACTTTCGTGGATTTTGGAACGTTGCAGGTCTTCGTTAGAGGAGGAGTTCGGGTCATTAAAACTATTTCTTGTTTTTTCATAAGATTTGTTTTGTTTGTTTGTTTGTTGTTTAACGCCACACTAAGCAATATTACAGCTATATGGCGGCGGTCCGTCAATAATCGTGTCTGACCAGACAATCCAGTAATCAACAGTATGAGCATCGATCTACGCTGACTGGGAACCGATGACATGTGTCAACCAAGTCGGCGAGTCTGACCACCCGATCCCGTTAGTCGCCTCTTACAAACAACAAGACTTACAAAGACAAATTCTAACCCGAATCTGACGGGTCCATTAGGAGCATTTTGTTTAACGGGTACATGATTATGATATAGATAAATATTTTACTTAAAGCACTAACTCCACAAAATGTTTTATAACGGTTTCATCAGATGGTATAACAAAGCCATAGTCCGTTTGGCTCAAAATCTGACCGATGAATTTGTAATCTAACTCGAAAACAACTAAACATAGAATACTCAATAAAACACTAATCATAATCATAACATCAGACCAACTCTGTGATTTTTTGCAGAATTTTTTACTTAAAAATAAAAAAGTTGTTCATCTATTTTTATTGTTCTCTAAAACAATAGTTTATAGTCACGATATGGCTGAAATATTGCCGATGTGACGATAAATATTAACTCACTTCACCACTTTAACCACCAGGCTACCCACCGTCCCAGTTTAATCAGATAATGTTTGACTATATGAGTAATTTATTGACTCTGTTTTGACAAGGTATTATCTTTCACGGTTATAGCTTTTGGAATTGCTTTACTTTTGTATCTTCTTTCGATAAAGTTGTTCTTCCGGTCTTACTTTACGGCTGTGAAATCTAGGGTTTTGAGAACACTAATTTAATTGAACGTGTACACGTGAAATTCCTAAAGCTTGCAGCAGATCTGGGAATGTCAACACCCAACTATATGGTTTACGGTGAATTTGGGAGGAACCGTTACGCATACAAGTGAATAAACGTGCTATAGCATGCTAGTGGTGCAGTTATCACGTCCTAATCATACCAGTAAAATTGCCTCATTTTATGCTAAATTACATGCTTAGTACACATGGCTATTCTTATCCTTGGTTAAATTACATCAAAGATGTTTTAAGAACTTGTGGTATCCTGCATTGTTTTGAATATCCACATCTTATTTCAAAAGAATGGTTAACTGCAAAAGTAGTTCTAACTTTAAAGGACTGGATTGCCCGAAAGGTTTCTACTATTCCATTATTAAAGATTCACCATGTTTTGAAAATCATTTTTTACTCACAGATACCATTTATAAACCGTTACTATATTTTAGAACAAGTAATCACAAATTGCCAATAGAAAAGGGTCGCTGCTCGAACATTCCTCGTGAAACTAGATTTTGTACATTGTGTAATTCTCAACAAAAAATAACTCTGGAGTTTACATGATTTATTAAATGAGACATTTGGCGAAAGCAGCTATACAACATGTAACATTAATACGGAACATGTGGTTTTATTTATTCTCAACTTAATATGATGAACAGAAAATGGACTTTCCTCCACCTTGACAATACTGAAACTTAAATAGAGACATTGGGGAAGAAGAAATAGATAAAGCCACAAAATAGCTGAACCTTGGAAAAACAGCCGAGAATGATCATGTAATAAATGATTTTAAAGGATGGAAATCAACTTGTATAGTAGAAACCTGTATGTTGGCCTTTAACTATACACGTAAGAGTGATAATTGTCTCACACTGAGGTCGCATTGAATCACACTAACTATAAATAAAAGAATTGACAAGACAAATTACATACATCAACCCCAAACCAACGGACTCGTCACGGAAAAAAGAATTCGTGAATTTAACATAAGCAGGTTTATGGGAAGGCTATTCTACAATAGAAAATATGTTTGTTCTATATACATCAAAAGAAACAGTTACCAAGGTGGTAGATTACATCTTACATTTACAGCGTTTTGGAAAGCATTTGTTTCGGTCGATATAAAACGAATATTATTAATAATATTCATTTTTCTGATCATACTTTCGACGCACTTCGACCAATATATTAACATGCACAAAAAGCAAACTTAAATATGCTTATGACGACTACTGCAGGGCTCTGTTCTTTGCTCGCTGCTTTTTTTGCTGTACATAAACTATATCAGTCACTGTGATATAGAACTTCTGGTTGTGTTAGATGTATGTTATTGTAATATAACGTGTACTAGATATGTCTTGACACTTGAATATATATCATAAAGAATGGAAGTTGGATGTTAACATAAACAAACTTCGACCTGTTCTTTGATATATTTGACAGTGATATTAGTCCTATTTTTTTGTACGGATCAGAACTATGGGGAACACATAATTTCGAAATTTAAGAATGAATGTCAACCTGTGAATCACTGATGTATATTCCAGAGCATCTGTATCTGCTGTTTAAGGATGGGGCCTGAATCTTAATTGTATTCAAAGTTTGCTAAGGATCACCACTTTAAAAGGTAATACACCAAACTCGCATTTGTTGAGATAGCAAACCAACAGTGTTCAATGGACAAAACTATGTCAGCATTTGAAGCAAAATAAAAAAAGAATCAGCAGGTTTTGCGTCTAATTCGGTATTCCTTAACCTCATTTGCATGCCGCTGTTTGCAATCATTCTTTTTTTTCTTCCATTTTTGACATTTGACTGAGTATAGGTCACCTGTATGAACTCTATAATTACATTATATAATTACAAATAACTGGCTCCCACAAAATGCCTACACTGTTATCAAATGAAGTAGGCATGCCACACACTCACGTTGTCGGTCACCTGTGCGAGTAGAATATGCGATTTCTGGCCTTACAAAGCGCCACAATCTTTGGTTCAAAATTCAGTTTTGCGTCATTAAATCTAGAGGAAACCTCCAGTGTACTTCATATCACAGTTTACAAGGAACAGTTAACGCTTTAAGGTCCGAAGACCAGAAATGAAATAATTTTAGCTCTCAGGCATATTAATTACCAGTTGCTTATTCCTAGCATTCTCTTGTATCATTGTTTCCACGACCCGGGGCCTCGTTCTGAGCAAGAGCTATGCCACTATCTGTATTTTGCAACCGTATGTCTGTGGCTGAACTTTGAGATGCAGTTATTTTTTTCTTCATTTCCCCTTCATGTTCCCCTTCAGCCTCAGCCTCTGCCTCCGCTTCGGCCTCAGGTTCTGCTTCTACATCTACCTCTGCCTCTGGTTCTGCCTCAGCATCAGCCTCAGCCTCAGCCTCAGGTTCTGTCTCAATGTCAGCATCCTTTTGAGTAGAGTCATTGCCACTATCGCTATTTCCCAAATGAGTTTCGACGGCGGGACTGTCAGATCGCTCGTTCGAATGTATGAATGTCTTTTGGAAGAGGGACAAATCCTCTGATTGAAAGATAATGCCTTCTTTAATGTCTAATATTTCAAGTAGTTTATCATGGCACTCTTTATTGGGACCTGAAACGAATTCAAATGTTTTACTTCTGTGAGATTACAGACCGTCACGAAAAGAAATAAAAACAAATACACATAAAAGGTTTGTCATTCACTGACGACATAGTGTCAACATTTATAGTCCAATTTTTGGACAGGTGGTTCAGATTCTTACCATTTTATAATCCAACTAAAATAGAGTGGTTATGTGTTCAACTAATTTTTCATGTTCGAAACTTAAATCATTGTTTGAAGTGTTTATCCTCATATTGTCCATATAACTACAGAAATGGTTCAAAATTGGTCTTCAGCAACCCATGCTCGAGGCGACTAACGGGATTGGGTTGATGGATTGTCAGGCTCGCAGACTTAATTAATGCATGTCATCTTATCTCAACTGCGTTAATCCAGTTTGTATCACGGCCTCGACTAACGGGATCGAGTGGTCAGACTCGCTGACTTGGTTGACACATGTCATCGTTCCCAATTGCGTAGATCGATGCTGTTGCTGTTAATCGCTGAATTGTCTGGTCCAGACTCGATTATTTACAGACCGCCGCCATATAGCTGTAATATTGCTGAGGGTGGTGTTAAACATCAAACAGACAAAAATCATATACCAGTAAAAATGCTGGCTGCCATTCTGGTATTCAACAAATAGGAATTCTTTGTATCCCAAAGCCAAACACTGTACCGGATGGTGGAGTCCAATAAATCACAGATTGCTAAAGGTATTTCAGGAATGGATTGGTTTGTAATATTTACCCCCTCACTCACTCACTGAATATGGTGTCAGCAGCTGTTAATATCAATGTGTATATGTGGTTATGTATGCCGGTATAATTGTAAGTGCCAGTCCACCAAAACACGTGTTTTGTATGGTAACACCATTCTATAATTCCCAGCTTCCTATGTTACTATCATCACGTATCAGGATACCCGAGTATTAATCACGATATGTATTTACCAACTTTTCCTTCGCTTTTAAACTGGTACAATAGGTCCATGGTCTCCCACTGTGACAGGCCGATGCTGTACTTGTCTTCCACCCATTTGCCTCGTAGTGTTGTGAACTTGTAGGTAGCTGCAAGATTCACCCCTGTCTTCCATATCCTATAACTGTAAATTTGTAGCGAAAAAAACCAAAAAACAATACTTCCGAAATATGAGCTGTAAGTATGTGGCGTATTAGTTAGTTAGTTAACGGCGCTCTAATCAAAATGGCAGCGGTCTGTAAATTATCGAGACTTGACCAGACAATCTAGTGATCAACAGCATGAGCATCGATCTACGCAATTGGGATACGATGACATGTGTCAACCAAGTCAGCGACTGTGACCACCTGATCCCGTTAGTCGAGGCCGTGATAGAAATGGTTTTACGCTAGGTCATTGCTGCAAATACAATAACAGGACCAGTTAACCCATCAATCATTTGACCACCCCACCGCTGCCGTAGACAGACCACCAGGAAACATGAAGTCACTTTACATTATATTGAATTATGTTTCAACATAAAAACAAAATATATGAGGATTTATGCATAGAAGAAAACTTTTCAAATATCTTTATAGTTTTTTACTTGGTGACAGCAATATCCTTCATTTCAGAAAACAATTCCACTTTTCACAATATCTTAATAGTGTAATGTTAATGGAACATTTTCTTTGTGGCAAGAAGAAAATTGAAAACAAACAGGAAAATAACAATAGATAACAGTTAGTAAATTAAAATGATGGACATTTCTACATGATGGACGTGTCGTCAGTTAAAACATGACGTATAAGAGAACACACCTGAGTTTTCGTATCGTTGTCTTATACAGATTGAAAACCTTGGCCAACTCAGCCTTTGAAGGTGAAGTCTTCATACACGACGAGGACAACGAAAATATGCGGTTCGCTGAAATAGGAATCACATGGGTGTTTAATTTAAATGTCAAAATGTCTTTCCCCAAACTTAAAGGAAACTTTAGTTATATATTTGTTAAATAAACTTGAACGTTGATACTAGGTATGATGGCTACATTACATGTCTAAACAGGCTGATCGTTGTTCTGTGAACACAAAAACACTTGCCAGATTTGAGATAATGTCACGTGGCACAACTTTTAACTGTTATTGATCTAAAATAGTAATGAAAGTAACCAAAGCTTGGATATGATATAAGTAAATGAGACCGACATACCAATACACAGGCGTTATTTGGAGGATCAAAACCGACTCCGAGGTTTTATTTGAAAAAGTAAGCCCGCAGTAAAGGGAAGTTGAGAAGGGCCGAAAGGTCAGACCCAATTTCCCGAAGCCAAATGCTTACTTTTTCAAACAAAACCGATGAGGTGGTTTTGATCCAGCTTATGAACCGAACGAAGATATACCTTAGATATAATTTTAATATTTGGTATTTACTGTTAAATCAACTGGGATGCGACTGGCAGCCGATACGTTGCCTTGCACGCGCAATACGCTACCCGTTTTGTGAGGAACACATGGTTCATACTGAAAAACAATCTCATTCTTCACAGCCTTCGTAGCCGAGCGGGGAAAAGCTAGTAAGCGAAGGGTTGCAGGCTCCAAACCAGGCATCGGCACAATAGATTGGAAGTTTTCTATTGTGTGATATTTTACGATCGTATTCAAAGCTTGTAGAAGTAAATAATTCAAAGTCAAAGTCAAATACAATATAATGACGTCACTGGAAGTTTCTAATTTAGATACAAACCTTAATTAGTAAGGAATAAGGAAGCGCGCTTACCAAGGATGTCAAATAGGGCACTTTTACTGGATAGATTGTGCATTCTTTGGTGTCTAAACAGGAGGGCTCTGAGGTAGCCTAGTAGTGAAACTGTGTGAAGCTGTCACGTGCCTTGATATTGCTGGAATGTTGCTAAATGCGGCATAAATCCATATTCATTTATCTTAATATACTCTTCAAAAATGTAGGGGATCTGAATTTTCAATTTGGATAGGAGGCATAAGCGTTAATAAACCTTTTTTTTAAAAAAGACATCTTATGAATGCGTCACCATTCCTCTTTAATACCCTCCCTGAACACAGCGCATGGGATGCACGTGCACAACGCAGTAGCCCCATATACGTGCATGGGGTGTCATTCTTATGTTGACGGGTTTCACGAAGGGCGATAAATCACTGCAGACCATTAATTTTCACCATCATCTTGCATCACACAATTGTTAGTGTTTGATTCTAGCCGGTGTTTTTTTTTTTTTTTTTTTTGTTATTGTTTTTGTTTGTTTGCTGTTGTCGTTTGTGGGGGGGGGTGGGGTGGGGGAATGGGGTCTTTATTTTGTTTACGTCACACCAATCATCGTTATAGAATGATAACTGTACAAAGATCTATGGTCATAAATACTAAGGAAGTGCAGATGGTCATACACTCTCAAAACAATCATTATTATCATATCAACATTGATTGACTCCGATATATCTCCCAATTTTTTCAACCGCAAATTAGAAATGAAGTTCTCCTACTTTTTTAAGAGTATAGTTTGTGATACCTTTATTGATATGTTATACCATGTCATGCTTTTCAAGTATCTACACTTCAGCGAAGAAAGAACGTTCCAGCAAGATAACCAGAACTATGTTTTAAAATCGATATCAGTCTGTCTCCAGGCAAACTGGGGTTTATGGGTTGCCCATTATCTTCATTAATATTTTTGTTTAGTTTGGATGTATACAATTTGAAATCACAAGTCAGTTTTCTATTCAGTGATGTTAGCTGACCGCTAACATTACAAACATGTATTTAGATCTGTTGAATATATTATTGGTTTCAGTGCTCACATCTTCCTCGAGGTATATATTCGTTCATTGTTCTGTTAACTAGCATGCTATTGCTGCTATTTCATCTGGAGAATGATATCCTAAAGTCACACCTTCTCTGAACTTTTCGGACATCACTGCCACAACGGCGTCACATGTTTTCATCAACTTTAGATCAGCGACCCCTGGTGTCTTGTTGAACCAATCAGTTGCCACCTCGACAGATGGGAACTTCAAAATGGCAACTGACGTTCGTGCTGGCCACATGTCAGGGTCGTGTATGGCCTATAAGCAGAAAATGGGTACCCGGTGGGATAAGTCATGTGACTATTAACCTTCTAGCGCCTCCCTGGCAGCTTGAGTTATCGCGGGTAATAACAATAATCAGATTACGATTTCAGCGTCCAGCGAGCAACTAGACACATGTATGCTAGGCGATATATAAATCAAGTATGTTTTACAGATTAAAAATGATATGCAGCAGAGAGTGTTCGGGGGATCCTGGCAGTCAGGCATTAGCTCAGGGTCCTTGCCCCCTCTACACGCAGCCCAGACAGCGAAAAGGACTTCTCTCAGGAAGTGTTGCCTTGTCAACCCACCAAGAACTTTCCGGAGCAGCCTTCTACATCACCTAGAGTGTCAGAAGGGCTGTGCTCCCGTTGGAGAACCCGGGTACCCTCCTGATCTGTGCCAAGAGATAAGGAGGTGCCAAACCAAGGGCACCGAGAACAATGGGGAGTCTGAGTGTACTTGGGATGCAAGCGAGACATTTCAAAGGCGAGGTCCGCATATTTAGCATGCTTTTCCTGAATCTTGCCAATCACGTTGCTGTCAGAAGGACAGAAAATTCAATAATATAAATAAATGCATCGGCTTTACCAACATTCTTCTGAGCGCTGTATATGGGCCTGTTCAGCGTCGTATCATGGATGGATGGTAGTAGAAGCAACGAGCCATGCCATCATGTCGTTTAATATATTCCGTTTGTGACAAACATGTATTTTGCCGTTATTAGTCTTTTAGATAATAGTCACACAATTACCCAATGTGTTTCTTTGTTTTTTGTTGTGTAACGCCGCACTCTGCAATATTCCAGCTATATTGCGGCGAGCTGTTAAAAAACGAGTCTTGGCCAGACAATCCAGTGATCACCAACATTGATCTACGCAATTGGGATACGATGTCAACAAAGTCAGCGAGCCTGATAAGATGATCCCGTTAGTCGCCCCTTACGACAACTGGGCTGCTGAAAACCAGTTCTAACCCGCACCAGGTGATTAATCAATTTGACAATTTCACCTTAAATCATTAAATAGTATGTTTCATTTTGAAACACCAAGCTTTTTTACCCATCGGATCCAGGATATGTATACCGGATAATAATTTTCATTTGAGATCTGCCCCTTACTTGTCGTGCAACATTAATTGTGTTTCATTTGAAAACATATACGAACCTTATATACTGTAAGGCATAACAACAGACTTACGGACCACTGACAATTTGGTTAAAATTATGTCCTACTTTTTTACCTTCACTATTTTGACTTTGCCATATGTTCCCGACATTTTCAGGCGAACACCTGCATGTGTCTGTGACGGTTCCACCGATGGGGTAGATAAAATCACGTTTTCGCGAACAACAGTCGACTTACTTTTGACTGAGATTTCATTTGGACATGATAAGGGGTTTTGTTGCTTTTACTTAAAATTATAAAGAAAGACGGCTTTTAAGTCACCTGTTGTGCAAATGCAATGATTTCTCCCTCACTCGCTGCTAGGCTCTTCTGTTGTCTCCAAATAAGATCTCTGAACTCTGTGACGTGGCCGTCTGGGAAGCGAATCAGTAGTAAGCCATACGGCTTGTCGACCTTCTCTGCCTGGAAATTGAAGGACATATACAATGTGAGTGACAATGGCTGTAAAGATTGTAAAATTCTACACAAAGTACTTGATATTCGATTCAGTTTAAGTCCAGTCAACCTCCATTCAAGCAGTGCATCTTCGTAAGCACCATCCATAAGACGTTGATGAAGTTGGAATGTATCTATACCTTCCTTGTCCTTGTCATTTGGTTATACAACGAAAGACACAAATGAATACCTTGTTTTCATCGTTATATGACAGTAATATTGCCGACGCTATGTAAACTTTTACCTCACTCACGATAGAAACCAATACAAGGACAGTTATGTGTAGGATATAACATGACCCGCAAGCATTATTGAAAAGAGGGCTTACTTTTCAATAATGCCCACGGGTCATGTTATATCCAACTTATAAACCGACCGAAGATATACTTTAGATATAATTTCAGTATTTGGTATTTACTGTTGAAATCAACTGGGATGAGACTGGCAGCCGACGCCTCGCAATGCACGTGCTCCGCACGTGATACCCGTGCCCTGCACGTGCGCTGCCCGCACTACCCGTCTTGCGAGGAACACACGGTTCATACCGACAAACAATCTAATTCTTCACAGCGATCCTTCGTAGCCTAGTGGATAAAACCGCCAAGTTAGTGAGCGAAGTGTTGGGGGTTCGAAACCGGGTGTCGGCTGTACATGTTGAAAATTGTCAATAATGTCATATTTTAGATCGCATTCAGTGATGGCAAAACAAGGTCGTATCAATCTAAAAAAACAAGTAATAATTCGAAGTCAAGGGTTATTCCTCAGTAAATCCCCGGGCAGAAGGACTTTATTAAGATAATTGTCCGGGGCACATAGACGTTATTAAGATTATTGACCGGGACAGAGGGACATTATTTAGATAATTGACCGAGGAAGCCCGATTGTATCAGATTTGAGGGATATTACGAGAAAAAGTGTCCCCTAAAAGCAATAGAGTGACGTCACTGTCGGTTTATAAGCAAAGGTTGAAACTGATGACCAGGGCCTTCATTTCCGAAGCTCTCTTAGCGCTAAGATAGTCGTAAGTTAATGTTAATGTATGGCACTTACGACAGTCTTAGCGCTAGGAGAGCTTCGAAAATCTAGGCCCAGTGTACCGTTGAACAAAGCAATCTTAGCGATCGTAACTTCCACAGCACAACATAGACTTACCACTGGCGTAGCGCTAAGGTTGTTTTTGTACAATGGCACCCTGATATATGCTGGTACAGAATAATACTGATTTCTAGATTTGTTGACATGTTGATCCAGTCAATGCAAAACATGTGTTTTAATGACTAAACAATTCATGGCGAGTGCACTGTTTGAAAATACATTTTCTATAACACTATTATTTCATGAGTCTTACTTACGGTGGGAGCTGGATTGTCCATCCTCAGCACATCGTCATAGGACGGAGGCATCAGAGGAGCAGAAGGATTGAGTGGGGCCTTAGCTGCAGTCTTTGCCTGTGCCTTTGCGGCGGTATTAGCAGCAGCGCGTGGTTGTGCAGCCGCAGTTGCGGCCGGTCGAGGAGGTGAGAAGGTGTAATTGACGACAAAGGGACACATTGGTGTGTAGAGAAAGCTGACAAAATTCCCATCTGATTCTTCAAAAATGTCGACTCCGCGGTCGCATTTGGTGTAGCGTAAAGCCGTGGAAGCAGCAGCCTCTGAAATGAATCCACAATATGAAATATGTAATCTGGGTTGATGGAACGTCATATAATCTACAATTTTATACAGAATGCCTGATACCTCCAGATGCCTTGATAAAATAAACCCGTGGAAGCATCAGCCACTGAAATGAATCCACAATAAGAAACGTCCGGGTGTAATCTGAGTCAATGACACGTCATATAAACTACAATTTTAAACAGAAAACCTGATACCTCCAGATGCCTTGACAAGCAAAATAGCATGAATTCTAAATCACATCACCTGAGCTGGTCTTCAGTAAATCTATGCTTGCCTTAGGGAGGAGACTAACGGGATCGGGCGCTCAGATTCGATAATTTGGTTCATACATGTCATCGTTTTCCATTCGTGTAAATCCGTGAAGGTCCGGGTTAGAATATTGATCTTTAGTAACTCATGCTTGTCGTAAGATGCGACTAACGGGATCGAGTGGTCAGGCTCGCTGACTTGGTTGACACAATGCCATGTCATCGGTTCCCAATTGCGCAGGTCGATGCTCATGCTGTTGATCACTGGATTGTCTGGTCCAGACGCGATTATTCACAGACATATTGCTATAATATTGCTGAGTGCGGCGTAAAATTAAACTCACTCACTCCCATTCGTGTACAGGAACGTTCACAGTGACAATCACTCGATTGTCTTGTCGAGACTCATTTTACAAGCCACTGTCATGAAGTTGTAATGTTGATATATGTGGTGGTAAACTATGAACAAACAAACCGCATTTGAGCTATTTCATTATCTTATTTGGCAAATATTTACAAGAATGCGTTTTTGTAACCCTGACTAGATCCTTCTTTCAAAATAACATCTCTTGTGGTCATGGTCTTGGCCAGAAATCCGTTATTTCCTCTTTATCAAGCTCTAGAAATGATGTAATTTTGATTCAAATTGATTAATTCTCTAGTTACAATGGTATCACGGGTCGGCGATGCCAGGAATGACCTTGACCGTCAGATTTAATCAAACTGATGACAATGCATTAATTTTGTTCCAGATTAAACAGACTATTCTGAAGTTAACGTTGCGATTAGTATTGTGACCTCCAAAGACACTGACCTGAGGTCATCCAAATGTTTATGAGCTTCCAATCCAGCCTACAGAACATGGGTGCTAACAAAAGTGGCAAATTTCTGATATATGTAGAAATAATTGTGCCGTTCCAACTATGTATATATTAGCATCAAACAATGATGATACCAGGTGTTGCCAACATTGTGGCCCTCAGAGCAAATAACTGCTCTTATTCTGCTGACAAAGCAGTTCATTTGAAAAGAGTCCATTATTAAACATGCTTGCATACACGTTAAATAATCTTCACAGTCAGTCAGACTTACGAGTGGCACCGCCAGCTGCAGCCCACTCGCTGGGGTGTGGCCGTATGGTATGGTGCCGATAGTGACGGGCATGGTGGTCTCAAGGTTTAATCCGAAAGGCACCTCAACCAGTACCTGGTGAAGGGAGAAGCAATCTGTTTTCTTGGCTTCGCAACCTCTCCGGAGTGAGTGAGTAAATATTGCTTTACAGCAATTCGCAAAAATGATTGAGTGAATACTATTTATGCTAGGAAGCGCAGCAAGTGCTGACAGTGTATTTTATTAACATATTCCAGCTAACACACAACGTTTTCGCAACGTTGTGGGAAGGTTGTAGATTGGTAACGTCATGATACAACGTTGTTACAACGTTAGTGTTACGTCATTATATAACGTTATGCCACAACGTAATAACAATGTTGCAAATTGACGAATAAACATTGAAGTGAATTTCTGTGTTGTAGGTGTGTGTGTGTGTGTGTGTGTGTGTGTTGAAGCCCAAGTCCGCCATTTTCTTTCTTGACGTTACATAGGTGTGACCTTTGTGTGACCTAATCGATTGTTGAACCCCACCCTCCTTTTCCAGCCCAGGTGTGTGTGTGTGACCTTCCGGTTCACCTTAGTGGTATTATTTTATGAGTTTGCCGACTCGAGTGCTCACACAGCAAACATTAGACTAATGCTTAGTCTCTGAATATATATAATTTTGATAGTAACAAACAAGCCCGTTTAAATTGAAAAGTAGCCCTAAGGACACCAGAGATTCAGAACCTGAGGAAATCTAGACTTGCTTTATTTGTGAATCGCATTTGCCGGAATTTGCCTTATGTTAAACCTATGGGAGCTCAGCCGGCGGTGTCAACTTTGATCTTTCTTTCCTTTCTTTGATGTAGCTTATCTCGTTGACTTAAGATAGCGCTCGCCGGCGCTCGCCGGAAAAGGCAAACAAACCCCTCCTTCGGGAGTCCCATACTGGTGTGACTGTGACCGTCAGGTTGACTTTATTTCACAATGAGCTGACAGTGGTACTTTCCCAGAGGTATATTGAGATATAAGGCAATATAAGGCCCCTTGAGGACTGATGGTCACTGAATATCTCAAGTAGTTTGATTGTACAGTGATGAAATGATTACTGAATAAGAAAACAAACCTACATGTGTTCTCCTGTAAAACTTTCCAATACTGTTACTCAAAATTTTAAAACTTTACTCTCAAATTGCAAACAAAAAAACCCATCTTATGTCCATGTTTATGACACTTATTTGACATCATGTGACATAGGTTACTCACATGCCGTTAGCCGCTCTTATTCCACAGACAGTACAATGAAATACTGGTGTAAGCTTCTTGTGACTGTATTGTGTGGGGTATGAAGAGGTTATGACCTCCTGGTATTAAGAATTGTATTGTAGCTTAAATGTATTCAGTGACATAGGGAGGATTATTTATCAGTTGTAAAACAAAGATTTGTACAACGAACAGTTGTCTAATCCTCCAGCAATGCATTAAGTGAGTGAGTGAGTTTAGTTTTATCTTGCACTCAGTAATATTCCAGCCATATGGTCTATAAATAATCGAGTCTGGACCAGACAATCCAGTGATCAACAGCATGAGCATCGATCTACCCAATTGGGATATGATGATGAGATGTGTCAATCATGCCAGCGAGCCTCACCACCCGATCCCATTAGTCGCCTCTTACGACAAGTAGGGGTTACTGAAGGTTGATTATAACCCGCACCTTCACGGGTACAATTCTTTAAGAAACAAGAAAGATATACAGATTTCATTGTTTATTAGCTCCGTTTCAAATGAGTAGGCTTTAGGATAGGAGCTCTCCCAAATGTCAACTTTTACATGTTGTGCTAATTGTATTATTGCCCTCCCTCATCGTCCTGTCTTCACTCTCTACATCAGATGTCATGTCTTCATAACCATCATCAATTTAGTCTTCTACCCAAGATTTATATTGGTACAGTTTGGAAAACACGTCATGATACAGATTATTCGTGTCTTGTACTCGTTTCAGTATTCCTTGTGTCTTTGGACCAAACTGCATATGATACAGATAAGTAATAAATCGGGCATACGTCTCTTTAAACGTGCTCCAGATGAATTTCTTCAGTTTGGCTTGTATCATGTCTTCGTGTAACCCTCTTTTCATGTACAGCTGTCGTTTCTCATCCAACAAGTCTTTATTCAGCTCACGCGTACGTGAGTACATTTGTCTTATACCTTGCTCCTCGAGATCAGCTATGTTATTTGTCCTGTTGCCGTGTGTGACAGCACTTAACGATACAGCATCATCATCATCAGTTTCCATTTCAGGACATTGTTTATCGCGTAAATGTCTTTGTAAATTGTGGTTATTGGGAAACACTTGACCACAATAGTCACAATCTGACAGAGGACGTGGTCTCTTCACAGCAGAGAAGTTCCTCCCACTTCCTTTTAACTTGGGGTATTCCAGGTGGACCCACTGAAGTCTTTTCAGGACACCAGTTTCTTCTGTGTTTTTGCAAATCATGCACGTCTTGAAACACGAGTCCACAGTCATCACAAGATGGCATTGTTGGGAGGTTTTCTTCACACCTGTCTCACTCTGAACGTCTAACTCGGACTGAATTGTCCTAGCTTGGAGGCCTCCTTTTAAACTGAATGCGTTGGGACAAAGTCGCAAATGGGGAGGTGTTTGGGGTTTTAGATCAACCAACAAGTATCCATAAGGTTTCTTGGTAGCCCTCTGAAATGGCTCCATGAAATGGTCTGTGTTACCTGGAAACATTTGCCTCGCCAAAGTCATGATGGGTTGTTGGTCAATAGGGTTGTTGAACAGAAGCAGATAATGACAGTTTCTTCGCTGTGTGGGATCCTTACTGTAATACAAATTCTGGTTCAAGGCTATCACTGAGAGATTATGATGATGACTTCCTTCGGTATAAAGATCTGTAATGCGTGGATCTTTGCTGGCAGTAGACATTAAGTCAATTGAGGATAACCACGTTCACAACACTGGGGTCCAGAAACGCATCCTTTTCGAGGTGAGAAGGAATGCCTTGATGAAATTCAATGTAAGGATAAACACAAGCTTGAATGGTGTTATACATTGGCTGCCATCGTTTGTAGAGCCATATAATATGTTCAGGATGGTTTAATGTTCATCCTTTCCAGAAGTTGCTTTAATAAGTAGGTTTTCCGACAGAAGGTGGGCCCTGAGACGATCATGGTAAATGGATGTAGGAGCCTAAATTCTTCCCATGACTGGGTAGTACTTTTGGATGAATGTGGTTGCACTGGTTGCATCATAGGTGATGGTACTTGTGGTGGTGGTGCTTGTGGTGGTGGTGGTGGTGGTGGTGGTGCTTGTGGTGCTTGTGGTGGTGGTGGTGGTGGTAGTGGTGCTTGTGGTCACTGCGTTGCTCGTCTGTGTTGATTCCTGAAATGTCTAAGCATGGCATCCCTTCGGAAAAAATCTGATTGCACACGGGGCACGTTGTTGACTGCATGGTGGTCCGAGTCTAAATGGTAGGGAACCATGTCTACCGGCTGCTTTTATCTAAAACGTCGTCTTCCATTTCTTCATGGGAATCTGGGAGGAACTTCCAGCTTTAGATCCCCCTTTCTTCTGCATCTGAATAAGAGCCTTGGCCTGTTCGACCACTTGTTGAGTAGGGGTAACAAAGTTAATCTTAGGCTGCTCTGTGGTTTCTTTTGGTTTATCTTTCTTCCACTCTGGGTCATACAGTTCCAAATATCGATCGACAGACATAATGGCAGATTTGTTTCCTCCACGCATTATAGAATGATAAGGATCTCCTTTCCCTTCAGCCCGGAGCATGTAAAACCATTTATCAGCATCGGGTACGAAGAGTTTGTATTTTGGATTATTCATGATGAAAACGGGTGCGACTTGAGGCGATGTGTCACTGTCACTGGTCCACGGCTAAATGAAGCTAGATAGCCCTCGTGGCCTGTTATATATAGATATCCACGGTTTGAATTGACCTTTCATGGCTTGGTGTAGCTTTCAACATCGCTGCCAGGATGGTCATACATGCTCTTTCCCCGGATTGACAAACTAAACCTAAGCCGGGTGTACTAAGCCAATGCTCTATCAAACAACCAGGCATTTTGAATGGCCTCATCTCTAAGTGCATTGACAAAATGTGGTTTCAAAACAAATGCGACCATAGGCATGTATCTGGCAAAAAGACTCTTCCACATACTGTCTGTCGTTCAAAGGGGTGAACTAATCTTCGTAACACAGCTAGGTAGTTATTTCTATCATTTTCCCTCAGGAAACGACGCCTTTCATATCGAGTCACTGGTAATCTTCCCTTTAATAACCTATTGATAATACCATTGACGGCAAGAATCTGTTCTCTGTTCATTTCTAAGATGTCTTGTCGAATCTCCTCAATGTCTTGAAACATTAACATGAACCTTAAAAATTCGTAATGTTTCAACACGTACCTAGCCATAATAATTCTAGCAAACAAACTCTTATCGTGGTTGGGATCTCAATGAGATTAGTATTTGAGTCAACCTCTATTTATACATCAACAAAAGACTATACATAGACAACCAATGCATATGTACTCTTAACATTGATTTTTCTAATATTCACACATTTTACATCACACTCTTGGTTGCAAATCCACATGACTACCCCAGCAGGTCATATTTTTCTGAGGTACTCCCACCAGGGCCAAATACGGACAGTCTGGAGACCATTTTTCATGTTCGACCCCGGGATCGTCATCTACTTCCCAGTTCTTGAGAACGAGACCACATTGAAAACACTTGCAAGTGTCCCCTCTGATTAAGTACACAAATCCGGCCTGGGCCATGCGACTAGGACTCTATTTCATCTGCACTGGCCAGTCCTTAAACGAATCGAGTCTTTTCTGGAATGAAGTCCATTCAGTACTGATTGCACAGCAATCGAGTGTCTTGTCGAGTGGGTAATGTCCACACACATCGACGATATCCCAGAGCAGTGGTAACACGTCCGCACAGTACAGTGTCTAAACCAAGAATGGCTTTACACCCAGTGACTAGTCACTAGGGTTACAGAAGGAACACATGAGGTACCCTATCTGGTTTTGATGATCCTCTTGTCCCATACAAGG